AAAACCTAAGTTTTGTAAATTTAAATTTTGGGACCTAATTTTTGATTTCGTGAAAAATAATCCCTGACCTATAAATTTTTCCCCTATTAAAATAGGGGAAATTAGGCCCACTACCCCTAAAAATTAAGAAATTTGAATAATACCCTATTAATTAATTAATACATTTAATCACGTAATTATAATTAATATGTTCTAAACTTCCAAAACCCAGATCAAATTCCTGATTCTAGAAACTTCCAAAGAGACGCCATCCTCCCCACCCAGTGGTGATAAAACAGCCTCAGCCGCTATGGGCATGGTGATGATGATGGTGTCGGAGGCTTTCGCGAAGGACATTATCACTATGTAGTTCGGAGGGGAGTTTGATGCGGTCACATGATTCAAAGAACTCAAACTTTCTTGGTTCTTTAGCAGTTTGGTTCGATTTTCTTGGTGATTTTAGAGGAAAATTAGATGGGTCTTCTTCAAAAAATGATTTTGATGAGAATTTCAGTTCAAAGTGCAAATGTGGGTCGAGGACTATTGATAATATAAAAAAAATTACAGATTATAATGAAGAATGTGATGATGATGATGATGTAAAAGATTTTACTGATAAAGTTGAAGAATTTGATATTACAGAATTGAGGAAACTGTAAAAATCGAGAGGAAGATGGCAAATGTAGCTTATGCAGAACAAAATTGAGGAAACTGTAAAAATCGAGAGGAAGACGGCAAATTCAGCTTATGCAGAACTTGAGAAAGAAAGGGTATCTTCTGCCACTACAACAGAGGAAGCAATGGCTATGATTTTGTGACTTCAGAACGAGAGGAGCCTGATCGAAATGGAAGCTAATCGGTACCATAATTTGGCTGAAAAGAAGCAGCTCCACGATCAAGAAGTGATTCGATCATTGAAGTGGCTCTTGCTAAGTCATTCACTCGAGAAGTGTCTTTTGGAAGATCAGTTGAGATTGTGTAGGAAAAAGTCGAAACAATTTGTGAAGAATGATGAAAAGGATGGAGACGGAGAAGGTTTGAGTTCTTTGAATCTCGGGATTGAGGATGCCATTGAAGATGTGTTTTTTATAGCTCACTACGTAATAGACATAAAGAAAACATTGCATCCACGATTTAATTATTTGGTTCGAGTGTAAGA